TACGTGTATTTTATGACATACGGATTGTTGGATATCTTGTAAACTGTTTATTGTGTACGAATTGTACGAGTATACGAATTCTTGAATATCGCAAGAACTGTTTACATTGAGTGGATCAAACATACGGATTATTGGATATCTCGTGAAGTGTGTGAACTAAGTGGATCGGAACTTGACCCCAAGGATACCTATTGCTTATCTGCCGACCGACCAGCCACCCGTCAACAGCTGGGAGTTTGAGTGTATCTATCAATGGTGTTGGACCGGCACGCTGTGATGAGGAGCGTTCGCAGTGTTAGTAGCATGTGTTTTCTTGGAGATGTCAACGTTGTCTGTCATGTTTTGTTTCTGTCATGTTTTGTAATGTTGTACACAAGGAGCGACTGGCCAGGTGGTTACAGTACTCGGTTCTCAGGCGGGAGACCCGGATTCGAGCTTCTGTACGGGATGGAGATTGGCCTGACACGGGCAAGAATACAAGTCATAAACTGCACAGCTCGTGGGGACTGCACTAGCCATGCTGCATTCAATCCTCAGTCTCACGACACACCCGCCTTGCAGATGGTAGATACAAGCATTGAGGATAGTACACTTGTAGATATAAGGAGCGTTCATTTGAAACATCTTCCAGTGGCTATATTACAAAGGCATCAAAGAAGCATCAACATGTGTGGCAGAATTAATCTGGGCATTCATTTTTAATTGATTCTTCAACATGGTTCGGTTTTTTTTTTTTTTTTAAAGTCACGTTAGGCATGCAGGCTAGCATCCCATCTCTTAGATAGGCGGCAAATGCCGCCCGCAAAAAAGTTGATGGGTGATACTGAACCAAGTGTTTACCGCGTTCATTTCGTGGTACTTTGGTGTGCGCCTTCTCCCCCCCCCCCCCCCCCCCCAAATGTGGGAAGAGTGCCCAGTAATTTGCAGAGCAGAATATAATTATGGCTCACATCCACTCCTTATGAGAACAAAATATGGAGATAGCAGCAACATCAGGATGACTGTTGGCCTCTTTAAACATATTCACATTGATGGCTAACGGTGTCGGAGGATTTCGGAGCTAATAGTCCCTTTAAATGCTTAGTTCAGAAACCATAGACGGGAAAAGAACAGGCAAAACAGACTCGTTTGTGTATATACTGCCACATTGAATGCCTCTAGGTGTGAAATGTAATATGAAACTATAATGGACACGGAAATTTACTGCAGTAAAAGTCTAACACGCATCCACTGCAAAGCATTCTATGTAGGTAATTGAAATCCCAGGTCTGCACTTTGCCTTGTGGGCTTCTACAGAAAGCACGTGAAGAATGAGAGGCTTAATATATGGCAGTAAGTTTAAACAGTCAAGAGCAGGGACGATTACTTGGGCGAGCCAGTTATTGGAGCAGGATATATTGGCTCCTCGTTTATGGACGCTACGTGGATAACGGTGAATGCTCATGTTCTGCCCCTGGCTTTTCTGGAGGGTTGACCAGCACGAGGGGGCTACTGTGGAGCGGCCTGGTGGGAGGGATCACCTGTGAACTGGGAAAACAAAGATGGCCGCACAACAGTGAGATTGCAGTGTCTCGCGAAAATAACCGGGAAGGCTAAACCCGGCTACAAAAACCTGCGGAAGTCGGATGTGTCGGCCGTGAAACACAAATATCACCGCCATGTTGTAAACGGGCAACGCGGATTTACGTCCTCGGATGAACACACAAAAAGAAGAGAAAGAAGAACTCACCTTCCGATGTTGCCGTTTTGTACGATTGTTGGAGGAAACTGTAACATAACGCTGTATGAAAAAGGCAGAAAGGTATAACAGAAAGTGGACGGTAGTAGAACTATTACACATACGTATAAGGAAATAGGAGCACGATATAAATGTCACAGTTGCCCAGAAGACAAGAAAGAAAGAAAGAAAGAAAGAAAGAAAGAAAGAAAGAAAGAAAGAAGAAAGAAAGAAAGAAAGAAAGAAAGAAAGAAAGAAACTATTTTGCCATTTTAAAAAAGCCACTGTTCTCAACAACTAACCAGAATTTTTGATTTTATAACAATTGTGAAACAAGTTTAGTGTTGACATAATGTGTGACTCAGCGGCCCGAGAATCAATCAGCGTGGGTGGAGCTCGGCACCTGTAACTCATAGAGCCGTATATAGGCTAGCCACTTGTTACTGTAACCAACCAGACCACTGAGTCACTCGGGTGGGTGACGTGTGTGGGTACACATGCAACTTGTACAGACAACTGAAACCGGCTTTCTTCTACAGCTCTGGCCTCTGACCTTTAGCAAGCCTGCCTTGCTTCATGAACTTCGAGTTTCTTCTTTCTGAGCGTGCCGCCTTTCTCTAAACTGACTTACTGTCGGAGTGAGTTCCCTTTCAGTGCCTGCGCTGATCGTCTGTTTGTCTCTGTGTGTGTGTGTGTGTGTGTGTGTATGTATGTATGTATGTATGTATGTATGTATGTATGTATGTATGTATGTATGTATGTATGTATGTATGTATGTATGTGTGTGTGTATGTGTGTATGTATGTATATATGTATGTATGTGTGTGTGTATGTGCGTATGTGTTTGTTTGTATGTATGTATGTGTGTGTGTGTGTGTATGTATGTATGTATGTATGTATGTATGTATGTATGTATGTATGTATGTATGTATGTATGTATGTATGTATGTGTCTATGTGTATGTATGTATGTGTGTGTGTGTATGTATGTATGTATGTATCTATGTATGTATCTTTGTGTGTGTATATATATATATATATATATATATATATATATATATATATATATATATATATATATATGTGTATCTATGAATGTATGTGTGTGTGTGTGTGTGCGTGCATGTTTTTGTAGCAAACTGTTTAATCAGATTGTATATCTGTGTTGCTGCTCGAATGTCTGTCTGTCTACTTCAGAGTCCTGATTGTTATGTGCGTGTGCTTATCCACACTGTCTTTGTCTCTCTCTCTCTCTCTCTCTCTCTCTCTCTCTCTCTCTCTCTCTCTCTCTCTCTCTCTCTCTCTCTCTCTCTCTCTCTCTTTCTTTCTATTTAATAATTTCTTCCTCACACACACAGAAACACCCATACCATCTGTTGGTCAATTTAAGAGTCCTAAATAGTTCTTTGCATATGCTTACATGTAGCTTACATGTATGTTCATATTTTCCCCTCTATTCTCTTCTTCTTCTTCTTCTTCTCATGCTTCTTCTTTTTCCTTCTTCCTTTCTTCCTTCCTTCTTCTTATGCTTCTTCTTTTTCCTTCTTCCTTTTTCGCTTCTTTCTTCCTTTTTCCTTCCTTTCTTCTTCTTTTTCTTCTTCTGTTGTTTCTTCTTCTTCATGTCATCTCTTACTGTTTGGGTGTCGCAGGCGATATAAGGTTTTGCGTCCGCACAAAGGAAATGCAATAATGTATATTAAATGACTCTGATTAGGTGTCCAAGAAAACGAAACTGGACCCATGCGACCCTTAGTTGGACATACCTGCTGTAGAATGTGCTTTCATCTCATGGATCTGTTTTCCTGGCAATTGTTCTGCAACTTTCACTCCCCAAACTCTCACATTTCTTTCTTTTTTCATGCTCCAAAATGATCTATGACTAATATCCATATTTTGCCAAACGAAAAATAAACGTCCTCCTTCTCGGAAAGGGGGGGGGGGGGGGCTTAATAAATTCGCATGGCAAACATGCCTGGGAACACTCAGCTTCACCAGGCAACAGGCTGACAGTATTCGCTTGTGCTGTTTCATGACGGAGCATATCATAACATGATATTTCTTCACGAGTGTTGTGTGATAATCTGTAACTGAGGGATGGGAACTTGCCCCCCAGTCTAGTTGTCTGGGCTCAGTCTCCAGTAGTGCCAGGAAGAATTCCTTGTATTTCCTGGAAACAAATGCAGTCAGATAGAGAGTTCTTGAAGAAAATCTTGAGAGAGAGAGAGAGAGAGAGAGAGAGAGAGAGAGAGAGAGAGAGAGAGAGAGAGAAAATGTTTTCGCCTTCCTTAAAAAAAAAAAAACCTTACACTTTTATAAAAAGCTTACTGAAAAACTTTTTTTAAGTCAAGTGAGCATGAGGCAGTCAGCGATACAAATTGAAGGTTATCAACACGAGCTTTGTTTCTGTAAACAGCAGTCTGGAAGAGTGTACATCCAGGAAGACAGACTGAACTTGTTGGAGATCTCTTTCATCCATCATTCATTGCGGAGGCATCAACTGATTACATTGAATGGAAGAATTATATTTTCCAAAAATTATGGCTCTATCGTCAACTCAGCCTCGTCAGTTGAGTACCATAAAAGTATCAAAACCTTTTAGGAATTGTTTCTGTACTTTTGGCAAATTAAAATAATCACAATTTTAAAACTATAAATAGTAGTCTGAAGGGACGTTCAGGTAAAGGGAGTTGCCAGTGAGCTCACGATCAGTAATATGGGGGGGGGGGGGGGAGACAAATTCAGGACCACATTAGAGGACACGGGAACAAAACATCTCGGAGGCTTCGCGGACAGAAGATAGCCCACAAGGCAAAACCATCCGAAGGATAACTGTAACACAGTGGGCTACAGGTAGGAGCCCACAAGGCAAAACCATCCGAAGGATAAGGATAACTGTAACACAGTGGTCTACAGGTAGGAAGGAGCTAACAGTCTGTTATGATACAAAGCCAAAAATCTGGCAGACATACAAACTTAGCCAAACACTTGGCGCCAATAAGCGAGACCACAAATATGACCAGTGACTGATGGCAGGTTGAATGTGGTCATCTTTTAAAGTTTTTTCGAAGATGGAACTGAAACTAGGAGTTGTCTGTAAAGGAAATAAGCTAATGATGTAAATGGTCACCCCACCTCATTATGCTGTGACCTAGAATATGGAAGTCTTAACACATTGCAGCCGAGTGACAATGTTTGCTATGGGATAGCAGTTATCTCTGTAAGGGTTACATGTAAAGACTACCTAACTTGCCTTCTGTATCTCACCATACATGTTTGTTTTGCAGGCGCTCCACAGAGAGGGACCCACACATGGATCCCATGGACCCCAACAGAGCATACCAGGGGCTTTGTTGGAACGGCAACCTGCTTCAGTAGCTGGTGAGTCGTTGTGTTGTACCTCATGTGAGATGTTTATGGGTGCCAATCATTGCTTGGCTGTCATGGAAAAGAGTCCCTGGGGAGTAAGAGAATTTCAATTACTTTATCATCATTTTTCACATACACATTACTCTCTCTCTCCTCTCTCTCTCTCTCTCTCTCTCTCTCTCTCTCTCTCTCTCTCTCTCTCTCTCTCTCTCTCTTTCTCTCTCTCTCTTCTCTCTCTCTCTCCTTCCTCTCTCTCTATCACTCTTCTCTCTCTCTCTCTCTTCTCTCTCTCTCTCTCTCTCTCTCTCTCTCTCCCCCTTCCCAGTGCTGGAGCAGTGACATGTAGTACACACACCTTACAAGGGCTATTTTCTGGTGGTACACAAGGTACACATACCTGCACCAATTTTATAGGCATCAGTTTCTTTGCACTACTTCTTGACCAGTACCAGAACCTACACAAGGTACACATACCTTCACCTCTTATTAGGGTATCATTTTCTTTGCACTACTTCTTGACCAGTACCAACATCTACTTTTCGGGAAGAAAAAAGGCTGGCTGCTTACCCTTTTACATGAAATATTGGTGGCACAGCTTACAGCAGAAGAGCAGATTGAACAGACATTGCTTTCTCATGTGTTACCATTCATTCAGCTGATTGATTAATAATGACATGTAACCCAGTCACCTAGTATATCCATCCCAGCAACCTTCACATTGTCCATATTACAAGTCTTTATTTGTATTTCTCACACAGGAACTTCTCTGAGGCCTTCTCAGTCATTCAAAGACAAACGCTCAGTGTCGGCTCCTGTGAAGACACAGGTAGGACTAGTTGTGAATGAGTGCATGTTGTAGACTTATGGTTGCTCACATATTGAGTCTGGAAAATTATATGCGGATGGGTACTTCTGTGGCAGACCCTGAGATTGTGGCAGTTAAAGCTGTGTACTTGGCTACCCTGTTAACATCAGATGGAAGATGTATTAAAGAAGTTAAATGTAGAATAGCTCAAGTAACGACAGCATTTTACAAAATAAAGAATATCTTATGCACTCTTTCTTTGTTAGTTGAGAGGAGAAAGAGAACTCTTAAAAGCTATATAAATCCTATCCTGATATGCAGAAGTGAATCATGTACAGTTGGTAGATTAGTGAAACATTATTTGGAAGCTGCAGGGATGTGGTTTTATAGATGGATGATGAGAATAGTCTGGATGGATAGATAATAGTACTGAAGATGTCTTGAAAAAAACTGACTCATGAAAGAGCTGATTACCACATCAGAAAAAGACAATCTACATACATTGGTCATGGCATGAGAAAGAGAAAAACTGGAATACATTGTGACAGTAGGAAAGTTGGAGGGGAAGAGAGGCAGAGAGAGAGACTAAGAGAAAAGATGCTGGACAGTTTGACATTATGGCATGGAGGCTTGTCTGTGTCTGAGTTGATTAAAGTACACAAGACAGATGGTGGTGGATGACATAACTTAGCATTGACTTTAAGAAGAAGAAGGTTGGGTGTGTACTTCTATGGTTGCTGCTGAAATTCTGAAAGTTGTGCTTGGATGGGTAATTCATTGGCTGATATTCAGACTGGAAGTTATGCTTGAATGGGTATTTCATGCAGATGAGACTGAAATTAAGCTTGGATGGGTACTTCCACAGCAGATACTGAGATTATTAAGTTATCCAGACCAGAGCAAGTCATTATCTTACGCCTTAGAACAGGACACGATTGACTTCGCAGCCATATGTACACAAAATTTATGATTGGCAAATCAGCCGTTTGTACCTGTGGATTTACATCTGAGACAACAAATCACATCCTCTAAGACTGTGCCAGATACAACATTTCCCGACAAAACTTCTGGCCAACTGGTGGAAGCCAAACTTAACGGGCCACTAAGTGAATTACAAAAGACAGTGGAGTTCATACTAGAGACAGCATTGCAGATAAAGATAATTTATTTGAAGCGGAAAAAATACAGAAGATGAAGATAAAGTTTTGCTTGGATTAGTATTTACTGAGACTGTAGAAGGCTTGGTTGGCGGATACTGAGACTGTGGGAGTTATGCTTGGGTGAGTACTTAACTGCAGTTGTAGAAGTTATGCTTGGATTTGTACTCTGCTGAAATTACTGAGACTGCAAATTTATGCTTGGATGGGTACTTACAAGACAGATATAGACATGGTGAAGTGATACGACTGTTTTATATGCTGTAGTGCATTTACAAATTATCTCAACTGTGGTGGAATATAAATGGATGAAATTCTACATTAAGACTGACTTCATTCTCAACATTATGTCACATTTTTCCTCAAAACACATAATTAAAATGTATTTTTCCTTGTTAGAGAAATTTAAATATATGATGATCTTTGCTGGATTGCATTTTAAGAGTTATACAGCAGAAAGTGCAAATTTCATCAATTGATCTTTCACAGAAGCACATGTTTCTTGTGCTTTTATGAAAATTCTGAATAAGAACAAAACTGTTGCACTGAAAGTGTCGCATTGCTCTTTAAAATGGGTTTCTACGTCCCTTATCCAGTTAAGTCACAAGATGTAAAGGCAGTACTTATATCATATGCTAATCATTAATGTACTTTAGTATGGAAAAAATTAATGACTTATGCCCACATGGTAAACAATTGCAGAAATGCCTCTAAGTTCTGTAATACTCACATTCACTTAAAATTTATCTTTTACCTAAGTATAAATAAACAGCTGATGAAAATAAAAAAGAAAACATTGTTTTTTATACAACTGGGCAGTCTTATTATTATTCATATGTATAAAACATTAACATCGAGATGGAATTAGGAACCTATGCAACAAAAGTCATGTTCCCAGGATAAGTAATTACTGAGAAAATGTTGAAAATAAAATGTGTGAATTTGTAAATGTACTTTATATTATGTAGATTGGCCTAGTCTGGTGCAGAGATACGCCATCATGACTGTCTCCATTCCTCTCTGTCCTCTGTTTTTTTATAAACAGTTTCTTTGCTTGTGATATTTTTTTGCTGGGCTGTTTATGCTGTCTGCATACCCTGTGGTCTTTTTATGCCTCTCAATTCATTGAATGCAATGTTGGCTATCACATTTCACTTCCCATTACCTAGGTCAGCTGTGCATTAATATTCAGTCCCATGGAAAAACATGCTATCTCTTATGTACATTTTGAGAACCACTCTTGTTACTGGAATAGTCTCAGAGCTTTGTGTGTTCTTAACTGGCCTGCTTAATGTCTTTACCTTCTCCTGGTATCTTTGTAGGCCAAAGTATTCCTAGTTTGTAAACAGTGAGGGACAACTTGGTTTTCTCCTTTCCTGGGGGCATTGGCCTCCATGGCACCTCATGCAGGCATGCACATGCACTCACGCACACACACCACATACACATGGATGCACACACACACAAGAAAAACTGGCACACAAGGAAAACTGGAAAATGCATGTAGCTGTCTCACCTGGCTGCCCCGTTTATTCCCTCTGTTATTATATTTTCTGGAAGTAGTTCTTGTTTAAAGTTTGCTGTCTGTTTAATATGTCGGTCATTAAAGACAATTTAATTGTTTATTTTTGGTAAGAGATTTTAAACAGATGTCAGAAATTGGCACCTAACGTAACATCTGCATATACAGAGAAAGATATCTTATTTATAAGTAAATTGTCTTTTATTCTTGCAGCCTAACCAGCTGTCCACACCTGCTCAGCTGTCACACAGACACAGTCTGCCAACATCCAGGTGAGTTCCACACATATTTCTCACTTAACGTGCACAGCCTCTCATCTCTTTCTGGTGACATGTTTAGGCAAGAAGTGTCGCTGGAAGCAGCAGGTTGTCTCTGGGCACACCCATGTCCTGAACATAGAGAAATAACACCAGCAATAGCTTGACTAGAATAGGCGACATTTTTGTTAGTGCTGCTGCAAAAGATGAGTTAAGTGTAGAACAAGACTTCAGCTTGGCAGATCAATGATATTTGGTTGTCTAAGGTTATTTTTGTCTGCGCAATGACGTTAGCGGCAAGGTATCTACTACTAACTGGAAATATCACATAATGAGATCCACACTCTCTTCCATGGTGTGGCTCTCGTACCATTTTCTGAAAGTCACAAGAAACCATTTCAGTAACCTCTGTGCCACACTGCAGTTTTAACAGACCCCACCGCTATGGCCGTGCTGGGGATGATATCTGTTGAAAAGTATACCTTGCATGGTTTTTTGGAAAACTTAGGATGGCAAGCTTCACACCGAGCACATCTGTTGAGCTTTTGACAGTACAGCCTTCAATTTGTGTCAGCATCACTACAACTTATCAACCAGTTGACCCTTTAGGCGAAACACTCCAACACCATTCCCCCCCCCCCCTTTTCATGGACCCCCCCCCCCCCCCCCCCCCCACCACCAATCCCTCTTTTCCCACTTTTTTGAGGGGTATTTAAACCATTTTAAGTATACGTGCTATAAACAACCTACCGCTTCCAGCCTTGTTTGTTGTTGGATATATGTTATATGTTTTCTTTTGTAGCTAGATAATAGATGTAATTGTAATTATTTCAGTAATTTGTCCATACTTTCTGCTTGCTGTTTACATATAGAGTGATGTGTTTTTTCTTGTTTGATGTAACATCGTACTCTGTATATTCTTGTACTTTCCTGAACACCATATGTATGTCTACTCATTGTACAGCTTGCTAAGCACATAAGATTTTAGTCTGCCTATGATTGTGTATAAATGTACCTTGCATGCCTCACACACAGGAGCAAGTGCCATTGCCCAGTAACAACCTGTCCATGTTGAAATAACAATGCAAGCTGGCATGTTCTTTAAGGGAGAACATTTGGCTTTTGTCCTGTTTATTTGCATGTGAACAGAAATGCTGATGTTATTCCAGACAAGCTTAGTTGCATATTTTTTCTGTGGAAAGCTTCTCTAGCTAGAGAGTTAGGGAAGGGAGAGAACAGGTGCAAATCTGGTGGATATCGCTGTGTTTATATATGTTTTCACGCGCACACACACACACCCATTTGGTCTCTTTTCTTTTGAGAGCAAACTTTGTTGATCATGGCTGCCCAGTCCCCCACACTGCCAGTTGATGTGTGCGTGTGTGAGTGTGTGTGTGAGTGTGTGTGTGAGTGTGTGTGTGAGTGTGTGTGTGAGTGTGTGTGTGAGTGTGTGTGTGAGTGTGTGTGTGAGTGTGTGTGTGAGTGTGTGTGTGAGTGTGTGTGTGAGTGTGTGTGTGAGTGTGTGTGTGTGAGTGTGTGTGTGAGTGTGTGTGTGAGTGTGTGTGTGAGTGTGTGTGTGAGTGTGTGTGTGAGTGTGTGTGTGAGTGTGTGCGTGAAGCCGAATTGCTTAAATTACTGTTTGTTTCCCATGTGTGCTTTCCAAGTTATCATTCTACTGTATGTATTTATTGACCTGTGCTTAACATTTTTCAGCACAGTGCCAGTGTCTTTGCTGTATCTCTTCTATTGATGCACTCACTAACTTTAACTGGTGTTCCTTATGATTTATGGACTGTTTTATAACATATAACACATTTTGATGCCTGTAACTCTTCTTTTGTCATCTTCTTCTCATACCCTTTATCTCCCCCCCCCCCCCCCCCAACCTCCCCCCAGTGGAGCATAGACGCTCAACCAACTCACATCAGAGCATCCTGTCCTTTGCTATCAGATAGAGTTAACCTCATGTCCTCCTTGACTTTTTAAACTTCACTCTCTAGTTCTCTGTATGTTTGGTCTGACTTTATTTCCTTGACCCTGTGGGTTCCAGTGGCTTTGCACCAAAGCCTGTACCTCAGTGATTGTTTTTCTGTCTACATTCTCAGCATTCTCCACAACATTACTTGTCTCAGGGGCCATTGTTTTCCAGCTAGTGATATATGTATATATACATACACATATTCATATACATATATCTTTCTCAAAGAGCGGATGCATTTATTGGAGAATGATCACTGAATTCTTTAAAGCTTATTTCCACAGTTTTTGCCATGGGTTTTCCTGTCTTTTTCTCACTAGTACTTACCGGGACCCCTTGCACTGTTACACTGTTGGGGTTCCAGTTTGTTCCTGGCAGCACTCTTATGGACTGGGTGCTTTATCTTGACACTTCAATATGCTATTTAAAGCCTGGCAGTACTCGTATGGACTGGGTGTTTTATCTTGACACTTCAATATGCCATTAAAGCCTGGCAGCACTCTTATGGACTGGGTGCTTTATCTTGACACTTCAATATGCTATTTAAAGTCTGGCAGTATGTGTATGGACTGGGTGTTTTATTTTGACACTTCAATATGCTATTTAAAGTCTGGCAGCACTCGTATGGACTGGGTGTTTTATCTCGACACTTCAATATGCTATTTAAAGTCTGGCAGCACTCTTATGGACTGGGTGTTTTATCTTGACACTTCAATATGCTACTTAAAGTCTGGCAGCGCTCTTATGGACTGGGTGTTTTATCTTAACACTTCAATATGCTATTTAAAGTCTGGCAGTACTCTTATGGACTGGGTGTTTTATCTTGACACTTCAATATGCTACTTAAAGCATGTCTTCACTCGGATGGTAAAAAATAGGTTTTTACTGCCTCATGTTGTCAGAGGGCAGTGTACAGACTGACGTGTGAGAACTTTATATGTTAATGTTCTCACAATAACAGTCACAGCTCATTTGGCACTTCTGTCCTTGCCCACTCCTTGGATACAGCAACCACTCCAGCGGACATTTCAGTATCCATCAACTCAGTGAGAAACTGGTTATAAAATCTTCTCTGTTGATCTGGAATTCACACATTACCTGCCTTGCCAAGCGTCTCTCCCATGTTATAGTTAAATGTTCAGTAATTCCTAGGATATGTTGAAATAATCCTTTGGTCGATTTGACGCTGCTGTATGTATGTTACTAATTATAGAATCTTGAAAATAAAACTAGTCCTATATATTTAGATCCTGCAACCTTGGACGCGACTCCTAATTGTCTAAATCCTCTAACCCGTGTTGTGAGTGAGTCATGCTACTCCATATCTAAATAGGGAAAACCCCAACCTATCTTAGGAATTTATAAATGTTAGGGACTCATAAGTATGTGGGGGGGGGGGGGGGGGGGGGGTCCCCCACGTGTATTTAGTAGTTTATAAATGATCGATTATGTTATCATCTGCTTTAAAGGATATCCTGTTAGTTAAGATACAGTAGACAGTAAATGATCGATAATGTTATCATCTGCTTCAAAGGATGTCCTGTTAGTTAAGATACAGTAGACAGTAGTCAACCCACTGGAACCCACAGGGGCATGTGAATAAATACAGGACAAAACACACAGAGACGGGAGCTAGAGGGTGAAGTTAACAAGGTGGGGATGACTTAGAGTCAGCTGCGTGCAATAGTGAAGGATAGAACTGCTTTGCCTGAACTGGCTGGAGGCCTATGCTTCACTTAAGGATAGAAGGCAAAGGAAGAAGGAGAAGACAGTCTTGTAAGAAATAAATTCATGAAATGTAAGATAAGTGTCCTTGGTTTGGTTGGATGTCCAGGTACACATTGTCTTGTCTGTGGCCCGCCCTGACGTTACTACGACCAGTTTGTCCTGTGTCTGTAGCATTTTTTTTTTCTTCTTTGTCCTCACATTTCGACTTAGCGTGTGAGCCTTATATCCTAGCCAAGCAGTATGAATGAATGTCCCCTGACTTCAAGGTTTCCCCAGGGAGGGGAAAACATTAAAATGTTTAAGAAAGTACACTGTAAACCCGCTAGCCTAGGGCTTTAGGATTTCCTGCTAGATCCATATCCTTAAAAAAAATGACACCCGGTATAGATGACTTATGCACTGTTAAAGTAGGCTCACAGTTCTATAGCCGTGGCTTCCATCTACCCCTTAGCTATGCGTATACTTCTAGATACGATCATTACTTAGTCTCTGTGGCGGTCAGCGGTACCATCTAGTGACCTGACACAGTTGCTTTATTGGCTTTTTCTGTCGGCATCTGCACACAGCTGTGATGTGATTTCAGGGTTTGTTCCCCTGCAGTATCATCTGTTATGGGTTGCCGTCGTGTAGTGACTAGACGCCCACCTGCGGATCGGTAGGTCTTGGGTTTGGGTCCTGGCGGAACTTTTTTCGAATATGACCTTGGCTGCCAGGTCAACCTAGCCTTGAGTGGGTACCAAGTACAGTCCCGGGAAGTAAAGACGGTCGGTGTGATGTAGTCTATAGCACCCACCAAATGCCGATTTGCCTATAAAATATAAGTCTAGTCCTGTATGTCCAATACACCTGAAGGCGTGGGAAAGGGGCCTTTCCATAGCCGTCATTTTCCTCTACCCTTTAACTGTGCATATATCACTAGAGGCAAACCCAAAAAGTCATGGCTCCAGGACCTGACTGACTGCACAGGCCTCAGGCAGGTAACCATGAAGTCCATCACAACTGACCGCCAAAGGTGAACTGATCAGACAACATACACTGGTGACCCACCGACACTCAGTGTTACGTGATGATGATGATGATGATACTTCAAGATACGATCATTATTTAGCCCCTGTGGAGTCAGCTGTATCATCTCCCCTCCCTGGGGTCATCTGTTCACCTGACACATACCTTGTACTCGCCTATCCCAGCTACATGTACGTTTCAATGATTTCCTAGTTTCCAGCAACGGGACGCTATTATGCTTCATTGCTTTTGTAGACTTCTAACCTTGGCTTTGTACACCTTTTGCTGCATTCAGCTTTTCCGG